AATGTCACTAACATGGACTCAAGAGAAGAGGGGAGTTAGATACTCAGCTCCTTCACACTTCAAAAAGGATTTTGGTATCTAGGCCCCTTTGGGTATCTGTGGAAATTGCAGCCTATCATCTTTGGTGCAAAGCAACCCACAAGGTCCTGAGGTGCCCAATACAGAAACTTACTCCTTAGACAAACAGAATATTTTAACCTTTAAACTATGCAAGATTTGAAAGTTGGGTCTGGAGGGGAAAGGCTGAAAGTATCAGTGCACCACCCAGAAGCCACTTTCACTGACAGAAGAGTTCAGTACCTTGTAAGTCAGTGTGAGGAGAAGGAATGTTCTCAGATTAGCATGGGCTGACAAGTTAATTGGTCATCACCCTTCCCTGCTCCCTATTTGCCACGTCTTTCTGGGGATAGCCATGAAATGGAGCAGCACTGATTTGCTTCCCAAGGCATGGCAAGCTAGACTGCAATGACGCCACGGATGCAGTGAGAGTTAGGCATCCGGGTAGAGGTTTGAGAGATCAGAGCGCAAATGCCCAACTCTTCTGGAAAGCCCTAGCTTTAGTCTGCAAGCATATTTTATTAAGTGCATGGACTTTAGCATCCACTTATTTTCTAGTCCACACTGCAAGTTGCCCCTGGGGATAACAGCACCACCTGCCCCCTTCCCGCCCTACCCCACAGAATGTTACAGGGAGCAGCCACCGAAAAATAATTCCTTCATCAAAATGAACAAGGCACAGAAAGGGTGGAACATAAATGCCTGTTCTGTGAACAGTCCCTCAATGGGACTCTAATCCCAGGAAGCTACTGAAACAGCACATGGAACAGAGAATGGTGGGAACATGCAGGCTGTGCCACCACCTGCCCTGTAAAAGGGAAGGGACTAGAAGATAAGAGCTCGGTAAAACATGAACAGCCAACAGTTCTTCCTCCCATCAAGCCCCTGAATGCTATGCTTCCAGCAACAGGTCCTGGTTGCCTGACCGTGCTCAGGGATGTTCCTTTCATGTTACCTTTTTTTTCAGGCAGCAGAGGAGATCGTAGAAAGCAGCCCGGTGTCTTTTTTTGCTTTTCAGCAGCTGCTACTTTTCTTGTACCAACTAACCCACGTCAAAATGGGTACAGACACAAGACTAGTCCTCACCCCCTTCCCTCTTTTTCTTTTTTAAATACACCTTGGCATCTCTATTGTACCCTGAGAAACATATATGAGCAGAGAACTTACACGCGCAGTCAGTTATGCTACAGCATGTAATATCTATGAAATGGCAGGTCATACCCTTAGCCAGTGGAAAACAGCTGGACAAACAGTTGCAAAATTGGGTAATCTCTCCTTCCCTCTGCCCTGGGTGCCTTCCCCCACCCCAATCTACACTTTTCCAACTTAATCAAGGCCACTGGCACACAGGTCAAACTGCAGCAAGATAACAGTCTTTCCAAAAGCTCAGTAAACATCTATCTCCAGGCACATGCATTAGTTCAGTAAAGCAGCAATGAGGGGGTCAACTGTGTTCCAGGGATACTTAGGTCTATATTGAAGCCTGACAGCAAGTCAAGTGAAGGGAAGGCTGCCCAGTGATTGAGGCACTAGCTAGAGACTACTCTGCCACAGCCTTCCTGTGCAACCTTGAGCAAGTTGTTTAATTCTTACTCTACACAGTACGAATAACTGCCCCAGCCTTCTTTACCAGAGTAGTTGCACAGGAAGGATACCTACTGAACTTAGAACCCTGCTTATGAGAACCGTATCTTTTCTCAGAGAAGAAAGTGAAAGAAAATGAGCCAAATTTGTCACTGGAATTTGACTAAGGGAAAAACTGGACCTCTGGGTTTATAAAACTGCCTAGTTCTTAAGAATGAGGACTCTGAAGAAGAAAGTTAACTCATGGCAGAATTGGTCTTTCTGGCTCATATGTGCGATGCTGTGCAACCACAGTTGTATGGGGAATTCTACAATGCTGGCAGTGGCTGCCTCATAATGCCTAGCCCAAATCTGCTGCTCTGTGTTATTTTCTACCTTATGTTTTCCACTGGCTCTGGTTATGCCACAGACACTGCACAAATACTGTTTTGTTGTTCTGGCTTCAGTCCAAAATTAAGTCTGGTGCATTTCAGGCAGCCAAAAACCAAATGGTGAAAATGCAATGGATTCATGACTGAATTGCATTGCACTGAAAGGAAGAAGTTTGACATTACCAGTGCAGCAGCAGTAAGGGTCAGCGCTCCTCTTTCTTTCTACGAGATGCAGAATACAGAAGAGCACGGAGGCAGAGGGAAAGAATCAGATCTCACAGTAATTCTCCTTGCTTCAATGATTGCTTTGCTATAGACAGGTTAACAAATAAAGGTAAAATTTCCCCACTAGAAGGAAAAAAAAAAGGAAGGATGGATGCAAAGGGAAAGACAGACAAGAGAAAGAGAAAAGCAATTGTCAAGACAGCAGAGAAATACGAACATTTCTCACTGTACGTCTTGCAGAACCACCATTTTTTCTGTAAACCTCCCATAACCAGACACCCCCCCTCACATGAAACAAACGAAAAAAAGGAAAAAAGAAAAAAAAAAGAAAGAACATTTGTGGCTGGTTTAATGCCACTGACAGCAGTGTATTCAGAATACAACTTGTCCAAGCTGTACAGAACATATTTACCTTTCATCATCTGTTGCACTGTTAACCAAAGAAGAACATTTTACTAGCAAACTGTGTCATGTCATTTAACACTACCATCAGGTCATTTGCTAACATGGATCTATTCTTTGTCCTTGAAAGAAACAATTGTACAGGTATGTTTAGTATGCCTCTAGGTTATGTATACTCTATATATTAATTGCTGTATCTGTTCCAACTTTAGTCAAAATAATCTAGTTAGATAATTTTTGCAAAGGTTCCTTTTAGTAGATGCCAACAGTACTAGACTGATAACACTGGAGAATGGAGCCTGTTGATTTATCACCCTGAAGGGACAGAGGCAGTGCAGGCTGCTCCACACTGCTAGGTCACAGTAGCATCTTGAGCTAGATTCCCAAGGATCAGCTTCCCTTAACAGCCATGCCTATTGAGTACTTGCTTTCTTCCCAAGACCACTAAATACAAACAAAATGAGCCCCAGCACCTCTTTGCTATGTGGATGTGTGCTCCCTAGCAGCTAGACTGAGATCATGAGTCATTTTTTCCCCCCAAGGCCCAAGAAAATCTCTCTCAGATCATCTGATGGTTATGACAAGCATTTACACCAGCTGTCCAGGTCTCACAGGAAGATGTACTTTGTTGAAGGAACCCCCTGTTCCAGCATAAAAATAAATTAATGTTCAAAGCCAAGGGAACATTCTTGGCTTGTTAAGAATTGCTTATGCATTGCCAACTTGTGACTTGCCATAGCACTGAAAAATATCCAATTGTGGCACTAGCCTTTTTGGCAGGAGAAGCACTCTGGCTGAGAAAGGCTGTGAAGGTAAAGATATCTCTCAGCATGTGCTTATGGGCATCCACACGCATCTGTATGGTCAGTGGAGACTGAAGCCTGAATAAGCTTTGAACAGAAGACTAATAGAAATATATGGGCAGGCCAAACATGGAAATGTACTGTGGCTTCCAACTGTAAGAATATAATATCTTCAGCAACTAGGAATGTGTGAGGATTTATTTTCCCCCCTCCCTTGTAAGAGAAGTATTGTTACACTCAGCTCAATCTGAAGAGTTGTACTGTAACCTGCCCTGTTGGCTGTGCCAAAAAGGATGTCTTTGGAACAGAATACAAAGATTTTAGAGTAGCTGATTGCATCCTCATCATCACAAGTTGTTGAAACACGATTCACTGTTACTAGTTTGGGTGGTATAGAAACATGCTATGCATCTGCCCAAAAATGTTTTAGGTGGAGTTTATTCAAGTTAAGGTATTTCACCATTTGCAACTAGATGCTACATGTGGAGAGAGCTACCTCCCAACCACAGAAACAAGAACAAAGTGATACCAAAACGAAAATCACAGCAGATGGAGTGTTAATTCTCCTTTTCCCAAAAGATGTTATTTTTTTAAATTATATTCAAACATTTACTTCTTGTGGCGAGAAGAAAAGTTCATACTTCTTTGCTGTATCAGAACAAGCCAGCAGAACTCAAAATTAGGAAGAGTCATGCTCCAAAAAAGCTTGCTGCTGATCAGCACTGCAAGAACCAGTATCAAAAATGGATGTAAGGGTCAGACTCAGGACAAGCAGCATGTTAGTATCCATGAGCCAAACACTTCATGGCACCCTTTGGAGTTAAGGGAGTGCACACTTTCACATCATGACTAATATAACTCTCTTATAGTTTTTAAAGTTTCACCATGTGTTCAGAACATCCAATTATTTTGTAGCAATTATGGCATACATCAAGCCAGTCAGATTGCCTGGAGGCAGACTCGCCAGATACATCAGAAGCATGCCACTAATTTTCTTCTGTCCCATTAATTTCAAACAGACAATTATTTGTCTACCAATTTGAAAGATTTACATTCTATCCACATGCGGGACCAGCCAGGGCCCTTCTTTTTGGTTTGTGATATGCAGGAGATCAGACTAGAATAAGTGATCTAAATGGTCCCTTCTGTATTTAATGTTTCTGAATGCAAGTCCTAAACCACTTGGCAAACAAAACACAACCTTTTCTGTATATAAGATTAAACTGTGTTGCTAAGATTTCCTTCTCTCCCTCACAACGTGGCTACTTACGCAGGAGTTCCTCATACTTAATGTGTCTAACCTGAGAAGTGGATTCCAGTTCATTGTGAAGTATTTTTCTAGGCTTATAAAAGCGAAGCGTTAGACTGTTTGCATAGTTTACAGTGCAGGGTTCCTAGCTCTTCCATTATTTAATTTTGTTATAAACCTTTTGCTTTGTGCACGAGGTCGTCTATATGAGCAAGCTGATTATTCATTGTAGACAACTGCACCAGCATTTTAGAGTTGCACAGACACTACTTGGAGAGGTATTTATATCCGAAGTCCTAAATGTCTTACCTGATGGATAACATACACTCCATAGTCAAGCTGTTGCTTTTGAAGGATTGGATGGAGAAAATAGAGCCAGTACTTCAGGTGCTCCTCCCGGTTTCTGAATGGGATAATAATAGCTACTCTCTGAAGCGCTTTACAGTCTTTTGGAGCATAGCGGCCTCCTTCTCTAACTTCAGGGTTTGTTTTCTCAACTTCCTTCAGATCCACAGCCTGGGAAAACTCTATCCTCAGCACACCAACTGGAAGAGGAAAAGGAGACAGAACAGGTTAACCCGTTTCATAAGTCACGCATCATTCTTTTAATGGTTTAAAGTGCCACTACTGTCTTAGAGGTCTCATTCCTTCCACATTGGTTTGGGTCAGAACACAATCCTTCAGAAATGACCTGTTTAAATATGCACATCTGCATTGCTCAACAAAGAAGTGGAGCAAGACACCCCATTTGGTGTCATGTAGAGAGAGATATGTAGACTTTGGCATGGTTCTGATTCAGTCCCCACTTTATCCAAGAACTTACTAAAACAGGAGGCGCCCAAATCTGCCAAACGTCACCAGCTCCTGTTCTGATAGACAACCCAACCGGTGTTTTCCAATTGACACATGCACCATGGATCCAACCCATGGAGCAAAAAATATCCCCTGCTAATTCTTATCCAAGCATAACAATATGGATTTTAAGCAGTTTAAAAATACCCTTTATCTCCTACAAATGTGATTTCTTACTCTGAGTTGACCACAAGCAAAACTAACAAAACCCCCTTTTTACAACAGATACTCTTGAAGTGCTAAAAGTATATGTACTTTTAAAAGTTTCTATGCCAGAACATGCTAAGAAAAAAATATTTGCATTTAGGCTGGCAAGTCCCGTGCCCAGTTTCAGTCAGAAAGGTTTTGAAACACCTCAGGGAATCTACCCAAAAGCAAGACTTCTAAAACCAAGAGGCCCGTTGGCAGTTCAGTGTAGAAATGTGGCTAGTATATTAGCAGGAGTTAGAATAAAGGTAGCCATAGTCTGGAATGGCAGCAGAACTCCACTCACAGGCAGGTGGAAGATGCTAGCCAAAGAATGGCAGCAGAACTCCACTCACAGGCAGGGGGAAGATGCTAGCGACATAACTTTGTGACAAGGAATCAAACCCATACAGCACAGCTGACACGGGCCATGGCCAAGGTCAAAACCTCTCCCAACAGAAAGGTAGTGGCAGGGACTTAGTATTAGATGGGAAAAGGTAATGACAATAAAACAGGAAGATTAAAAAAACACTTAGGTAAGGACTCAGTCTCCAGGCAACAGAAAACACACAGCATATTGAGTTAGTCATGCCTTTGTCATTACTGATTCAGAAATGTAGGGTTGGAGGTGACACCTCAAGGTCATCCCCAGCTCCGAGGACTCTTCAGTATAGGGATCCAACCTGAGGCAGGCCATGCAGTGACTCTTCAGGCCAGATGAAGGCATGAAAGAGGTGTCTGGATGAGGCATGAACCTTAACTAGCTCAAGACTGAACACTAATTACTGGGCCAAACAGTGGACTGCAGAACCTACAATTAGGGAAGCGTTATTTATTAGATTTAAAACATGACTGACAAGGAGAAAACAAACACCTTTTAAAGAAAAAACATGTAAACAGCTACTCCACAGAGTTTTGCACATTCTAATAGAATAAAAGCATTAGTCCATCTGTCCATATAATGCCAACCGCTCATGTGCCGCTGAAAGGATGTGAACTGATTTGGTGCGAGGGCCCGGAGCTTTATGAACAGAGGGGGCGAGGAAGCTGCTGCGCCACCCCCAACAACAGCCGGCAAGAAGGGAGAGAGGGGCAAAGAGGGGAGGAAAGGAGAGGAAGGGGGGTGTTTCTGGTGGCAGCGCCCCCCACGCTGACACCACTGTGGCCCAGCCCCAACAAGAGCCAGCAGAGAGGGAGAGGCAGCAGGGAGGGAGGGATGTTGCCTTCTGCTGGGTGTCAGCAGTTGCTGCCACATGAAAGCTCCTCTTCCCCGCTATTCCCTGGAACCGGCGGTGGTGCAGGGTGGAACGGTCAGGGGGGGCACACGGGGCTGGAGGCAGAGTGGCAGCATCGCAGGGTGCTGGGTGGTACAGTGGACCTCGTACAGACCTCGTACAGTTTCTGTAGGTGGCCCATCAAACTCATGACGGGCAATTTGCTAGTATATTTATATACAGGTACATAGGTAGAGTAATTAAATAGTCAAAATATTACTTTTGCCCTGGTCTGTGGTCTTTCTTCTTGCTTACTAGGCTATAATGAGTTGTTTCTGCTTAAGATGGACAGTTCTATAACTAGGGGTGCACCAATAAAGAATTTTTTGTGCGATACCGATGGCCGATTATTAACCAGCCACATGGGCTGGCACTGATCCGATATGCAGCCCTGCAGCTTGGAGAGCAGCTTCAGCTCGGGGGGGGGGGGGGGGGGGGGCAAGGCTGAGAAGATGAAGGCCCCCATGGTGAGGGATAGAGTGGGGCTGGGGAAGGCACTGCCCAGCCAGGGCAGGGTGCGGGACTGAGCCGTGGATGGCTAATCGGGGGGGGGGGCGTGTTCCTGCCACTGCGCACACACGAGGGGAGGAATGGGGGGCATGTGCCCCCTGGATTTGTGCACAGGGCAAGGGCTGGCTGCCCACTGCGGGCTTGGGGTCAGGGGCTGTGCCAGCCTCTTTCTGGTGAGGGCTGGGCCGGAGCTGCACTTGGCTTAGTAAGATTCAAACCGCAATGCATCATCTTTGCTTTTCCAGCTTGTTCTCTCTCCATTACGCAAAACTCAGTTGGTTGCTATGGGTTTCTCAGTGATCAGGAAGGTTAATGGTAATGAGGTTGCATCAGTAATGTTGCCTGCCTCTACAAAACACGACCATTCTTTGGATTTCCCTCACCATTTCTTCTTTAATATTTGAAAATTACCTCTTCCACCCAAACTTTGCTACAGAAAAATATGCTTTAATGTTTTCTTGTTACTTTCCTAAATGCATTCAAGGAGAGGGACATTTAGTTTTCCAAATTTAAATTAGGAAAGATTAAGCTTACAAATATATTTTAGTGTCATATTTTCCCATTTTTTCTGGTGCTATGTCAACAGCTTCTCTAATATATAGTGTTGAAACTAAACTCCTCAAATGTTTTTTCTAGGCCTGCAGTTGGGCTGGTTTGCATGTAAACCTATAGAATGAAAAAAAAGGTGGTCTGAAAACTCACAACAGGAAGTAGAAGGAATAAAAGAAGAAGAAATTACTCCACCCCAAGCTGGAAAAACTAAAGGAGGTTAATACGTGGCAGCTCTGGATCAATGAGGAACAAACAGGGCTATATGACTGCACTTCAGGCATACACAGAATAACCAAATAATACGTCTTCAGTGTGCCTACGTTACTTAATTGGCAGCCATGCTGTTTGAGATTAGCAAATATTTGCAGCAAAGCCTACAGTGTGGGAAAAGGGTTTTCTAAAAATACTGATATCAGTTCCTCACATTGATTTCATTCTCAAACTAGCTTCTGACCTCAACCTATTCCCACGTGTCAGTGAACTCTGTTAGTGTCAAAGTGGGTGCCATTTCATATACAATTTCTCTTATACACACATGCAGCTCCTTATCTGACTAGTGAAAATATAAAATCCACTACTGCTTGACCCCAGTTACTCATTCTTTGTTACACACTACCCTAGTGAGTATTGCAAGCTTGCTGTTCTTGGACACATCTTGCTTGTGTTACCCCTAATTGAATATCCATTAGGATAAAGTGGGGAGGAACAGAGCAACACTGAGCATTTTCTTCATGGATCTTTAATCTCATAAGGTCAATATTAAGAAAACCACTAACTTTTGTCACTTAAAAGCTTGTCCACAGGTTTGTAGACAAAAATAAAGTGGGGAGGAGAGGAAGGGGAGAGAGAAAGGGGAAGGAATGGATACAAGCAAACAGGATTTTTTTTGCCTGGTCAGATAAGTTACTTTAGGAAATACAATAATGAATCACTAGGAACAAAGCTCTAAAGTACAAGGTCTGTTGTAGACTCCCACTGTTCTTTCGTGCTACAAGGCTTTTACCTGCAAGTTTAATTATATCAATTATGACCCCAGGGCCACTCACCCTGCAGATGCTAAAAGTCAAAGGGCTTCTTCATACAGCAAACGGAGAGAAGTTGGCAGTATTGGGGCCTTAAGTGTAAAAGAAATCTTGGAAATGAAAACATGTCCAACATATAAATGAACTAAGTATATTTGGAAATACAGGTAGTCCTCGACTTAAATTGTTTCAAGTTACAATAAACGGCACTTGCGACACTTATAAATTGACACCGTTTTGACTGTCTGACATCAGTTTCGACCTTAGGACGCTTGATTCGACGCCACGGCATGCCACGCCAGTGAACAAGTTCACTGCATCGCTCATCTCTCTGGAGAACATCTGTTCAAATTTCCTTGGGCACTTTCTTTAAGAAAGTAGACAAGACTCCTGAGGAGACTCCAGCCAAGAACCCTTCAAAAAGTCCAGCAGTCACCTCAAAGAAGTCCTTCCAATTCAATATGATTGCTATTTACAATATAAATACATTAATGTAGCTATATTACTCATCTATAACTGATTGAGTACAAAATTCTGGGGTATTTTTGGTGAAAACAGGGTATTGGGCCTTGGTTCAGGAACCAACCCCCCATTTTATAACATTGCTCTTATAGGAAAATTCGTTTCGAGTTACGTTTTGACTTAAGACGTGGTTTTCAGGAACCAATTGTGTCATAAATCCAAGGACTACCTGTACATATTTTAAGTGTTACTCTGATATTTGATGCATCCTGATACCAGGAGGATCAGAATCAGAACTCCTGGGTCATTTCAAACTCCTCCAAACCTTTCTGACCAGAACAAGGCTTTGAAAAAACGATGACAGGTATGAGAGAGCATAGGTGGGATGTGATTGAGTATGTCCCTCATTGAGAGAGCCAGGGACATGATGTAGTCATATCAAGATGGGCATGGCACATCTGCAGGATTACTAGGGATCAAAAGCAAAGAAGGGACATATCCCTCAATCTGGCTGCTGCAAGGAATGGAGGTGCTACAAGTGTTTCTCACAACCATTATCCCTTAAGCAGTAGACTATCCAACTCCAATTCTCACTAAGTCACTAGCCCTTGCTACAGAACCAGATGCCAGCTATATCCTCTCATCAACACTGACCACATCATTAAACCAAACAATAAAAATAACATC